GGTGAGCTACACCAGGACCGGAAGACCTGTCAACTTTAAACAAACTTTAAACTTTAGGTTTCCCTTTTTACCTGTGTTGGAATTCCTGTTTTCTACTATTTTGTCAATGGTGTGCCCTTTTCAGGCAAGGCCCATGTAACCTAGCAACCAGGACTCAGGGGTAGACGTAACATAGTAAATGTAAATCTGTCTCCCTCTATTTAGTATAATATGTTAAGTTTCGTATGTATGTATTAGTTGGTGGATGTCCATCATCCATTTCGTATGATATGTTACAAATTACAAATCGTATTAGGTTGGGCAATATCCAGATTTTAATATCGTCAGACCGTTGTTCTCTCAATACCGGGATATACGGTATTACCAGCTTAGTACACAAGGGGGCACCAAAAAACCTGCAAAAAAGACCATTGGGCGTCTATTACCAGATTGCTAACAAGATACACACAAGTAATAGCAGATTTCAATGGAGGCTGCAGGGCTAAATATGCTAACGAGCGCAAACGAAAATAAGCGATTTTGCAAAGACAGGCAATCCAGCTCGTAAAGTTATACATAGGTAGGAGCTACCGAATGTCATTTTTGGTGAGTTTGAACATTTACAAGTGAATGTGAAAGAGAGACATTGTGCAAATGAACAAAGTTTTGACGCATGCTTGTCTGAAGGAAGAACAGTACTGGCCTTGGAGCAGCATGTGTAGGCTACACACTGTGTCTGTGTAGAGTCTGGAGTTGCTAGGGCAACTGGCCTTCCTGCACTGCTCAGAGAAGAGGGGGGAGGAGAAGAGGGGAGAGGGGAAGATGAGCGGAGAACAGAGAGGTGAAAAAAACGCAAGGAAATGAAGATAGTGGCAGCTGTACAAATAACTAATCCAAAGGGCTTTGACTTCTCAAACACGGCAGAAAGCTAACACAATATGATGCCCCGTCACTTTATTAATTCAGCCACTTACTTAGATGAACTAGCAAGTTAAACTTAGGGGTTGCGTTAATGCAGAATTCTGTGTTTTCACGCAGGTAAAAAAGATAAAACGCATAAGAAATATCTTGCTGCATTTTGTAAACGCAGTTGTAAAATGCTTCTAATGGTAGTTTCTGCTCTGCATCAGGCTGTTCTGGGGAACTATGGTAAGCTTCATAATGTGAAATGAAGAACGCGATCTGCTTCATCTCCTAATGTATTGCACAAGTTGACTGCAAATATTATTAAATATTTAAATATTTTAATGTATTGAAAAACTTCAAATAAATAGTTTCAATGGTATTGAAAAACCATCCTGTGGCTATTTCTAAATATGGTATACATGCTATATATAGCTTAATTCGTACAATATGTTACGAATTACAATTTGTACAATATGTTTTTTTTTTAAACGAAACGTATGATATGTTACAAATTCCAATTTGTTGTGGCTAACGCTAGCTAGGTGGCTAATGCTAATTTTAGCTAGGCTAGGGGTTAGGGTTAGGGGTTAAGATTAGGGTTGAGGGTAAGGTTAGGAGTTAGGCTAAAGGTTACGGTTAGGGTTAGCTAACATGCTAAGTAGTTGCAAAGTATCTTAAAAGTAGTAAGCAGTTGAAAAGTTGCTAATTAGCTAAAGCTGTCCGTGATGAGACTCGAACACGCAACCTTTGGGTTGCTAGATGTTTGCGTAATACGCCTACCCACCACCCCGACCAACCACCCTACTCTCATTTTTGCCTTAAGTAACCTTCTGTCTCATGTAAGTACACCAAATGTAACATATCATACTACAGTAATCTGAGTATCCCGGATTACATTTACTATGCTACGTCTAGTCTATGAGACCAGGCTGAACCTAGTAGGCATAAATGTGCCATAATGTCATGTCAGGACTAAGGTTGCAAAGGGATCATTACTGGAAACTTTCAAAGTTTACCAGTTAACTACCAGTATTTTGGTATCTTTCAAGGATTTTATGTAATATATCTAGTGGCCCTTTTGGGTACTTCAGATTTTTACAGGTGTCTGTAATTATCTATGGCCCTCTGTGTGGCCTTATCACATTGGAAATAATTAAATAATAGAACGACAAAGCTGTAAAACATAATCCTAAATATAAACCATCAACTTAGTGAACACCATTGGTGTTTAATAAGAGGAGTTCAGCATGACATATATATATTTTTTACAAACTTTGATTTATTTCACTATGTCAGTATGCATTTGTTGGAAAAGTTGCAGAGTTAATTAAAAATAATGCCATTGTTGATAAGATGCTTTTTCATTAATTAGGCTATTTTCTTTTGAACCATATGGTTTATGTACTTCAAACATATGGACAATATGGACACAGATTTACAGTGCATTCGGATAGTATTCAGACCCCTTTACTTTTTCCACATTTTGTTAAGATATAGCTTATTCTAAAATTGATTTTTTTTTATATCCTCATCAATCTACACACAATACCCCATAATGAAAAAGTGAAAACAGGTTTTTAGAAATGTTTGCAAATGTATTACAAATAAAAAACAGAAATACCTTATTTACATAAGTATTCAGACCCTTTGCTATGAGACTCAGAATTGAGCTCAGGTGCATCCTGTTTCCATTGATTATCCTTGAGATGTTTCTACAACTTGATTGGAATCCACCTGTGGTTAATTCAATTGATTGGACATGATTTGGAAAGGCACACACCTGTATATATAAGGTCCCACAGTTGACAGTGCATGTCAGAGCAAAAACCAAGCCATGAGGTCGAAATAATTGTCCGTAGAGCTCCGAGACAGGATTGTGTCGAGGCACAAATATTGGGAAGGGTACCAAAAAATGTCTGCAGCATTGAAGGTCCCCAAGAACACAGTGGCCTCCATCATTCTTAAATGGAATAAGTTTAAAACCACCAAGACTCTTACTAGAGCTGGCCTCCCGGCCAAACTGAGCAATCGGGGGAGAAGGACGTTGGTCAGCGAGGTGACCAAGAACCCGATGGTCATTCTGACAGAGCTCCAGAGTTCCTCTGTGGAGATGGAAGAACCTTCCAGAAGGACAACCATCTCTTCAGCACTCTACCAATCAGGCCTTTATGGTAGAGTGGCCAGATGGAAGCCACTCCTCAGTAAAAGGCACATGACAGCCCACTTGGAGTTTGCCAAAAGGCAACTAAAGGACTCTCAGACCATGAAAAACAAGATTCTCTGGACTGATGAAACCAAGATTGAACTCTTTGGCCTGAATGCCAAGCGTCACGTCTGGAGGAAACCTGGCACCATCCCTACTGTGAAAAATTGTGGTGGCAGCATCATGCCTGTGGGGATGTTTTTCAGCAACAGGGACTGGGAGACTAGTCAGGATCGAGGGAAAGGTGAACGGAGCAAAGTACAGAGAGATCCTTGATGAAAACCTGCTCCAGAGCACTCAGGACCTCAGACTGGGGAGAAGGTTCACCTTCCAACAGGAAAACGACCCTAAGCACACAGCCAAGACAACACAGGCGTGGCTTCGGGACAAGTCTCTGAATGTCCTTGAGTTGCCCAGCCAGAGCCTGGACATGAACCCGATCTAACATCTCTGGAGAGACCTGAAAATACCTGTGCAGCGACGCTACCCATCCAACCTGACAGAGCTTGAGAGGAACTGCAGAGAAGAATGGGAGAAACTCCCCAAATACAGGCGTGCCAAGCTTGTAGTGTCATACCCAAGAACACTCGAGGCTGTAATTGCTGCCAAAGGTGCTTCAACAAAGTACTGAGAAAAGACTTATGTAAATGTGATATTTCATTATTATTAATATTTGTTTTGCCAAAATTTCTAAAAACCTGTTTTTGTTTTGTCATTTGGGGTATTATTGTGTGTAGACTGATGGAACAAAAAACAATTTAATCAATTTTAGAATAAGGCTGTAACGTAACAAAATGTGTAAAAAGTCTGAATACTTTCTGAATGCACTGTAAAAAAAAAAAAAAGAACACTATACTGTATATGAATACATTTTTTTTTTGTTATTCAAGTATAAATGACCAAAGTTACAATATATTGCCATCGATTTTCTATTAATTACCTAAATGACTGAGATTCCGGTAAACTACAGGGAGCTTTGTCAGGACACACATAATTTCAACCTTATATAGGCTACACCACATATTAATAAAAAAGAAATGGACTAGATGTGTTACATGTGTAGGCCTACCATGTTTGTCTCCAGTGGTTTAAAGTACTTAAGTAAAAGTACTTGAAAGTACTACTTAAGTAGTTTTTTGGGGTATCTGTACTTTACTTTACTATTTATATTTGGACAACTTTTACTTTTACTTCACTACATTCCCCCAAAAATTATGTACTTTCTACTCCATACATTTTCCCTGACACCAAAAGAGCTCATTACATTTTGAATGCTTAGCAGGACAGGAAAATTGTCTAATTTACACACTTATCAAGAGAACATCCCTGGTCATCCCTATTGCCTCTGATTTAGCGGACTCACTAAACGCATGCTTGTAAGTTATGTCTGAGTATTGGAGTGTGCCCCTGGCTATTCGTAAATAAAAACAAGAAAATGGTGCTGTCTGGTTTGCTTAATATAAGGAATTTGAAAATATTTATACTTTTACTTTTACTTTAATACTTAAGTATATTTTAGCAGTTACATTTACTTTTGATACTTAAGTATATTTAAAACCAAATACTTTTAGACTTTTACTAAAGTAGGATTTTACTGGGTGACTTTCACATTTACTTGAGTCATTTTCTATTAAGGTAACTTTACTTTTACTCAAGTATGACATTTCGGCACTTTTTCCACCACTGTTTGTCTCGGTTGAATGTTATAACACTTGCCAGTGTCACATAACTGTGTTGTGTGTGCCAATGTGCACAGTATGACTTTCACTGCTTGCGCTTTTAAATGAGGTATCTGAAATGTGTTTGCGCAATCTCTCTCACCGGAAGTGATTCCCACGCGCAGACGAGGTCAAAATGGCGACTTGCTGAATGTGAAGAGGACATAAGGGAACCGGCTTTATGCTACAAAAACATGTACAAAACGCCATGTAGCAGACTCACAGGTAAACGTATAGATAATATGTACTTATCGTTCATATGCACCGGTATCGAATGTAAAATATTATTCTGTCGCGGGTCGAAAATACTCACGTTTGCAAGGTTAGTTAAGCTAATTAGCATGCTAACTGTTAGCTATGTACCGGTATGTTATGTAGATGGCTTTCAGCTAGCTAGCTTGTTAGCAATGCTCTATGACCTTAGCTTTAATCGAGCCAATGTGGGCCTATTCTCGAATACATCTGGATTCATCTAGTCATTTGACATATCGCAGTGCCACCAACAAACCTGTCAATTACAAAAGTTCAACATTCACCTTCTGCTACCATTTCTGTCAAGCTGTCTACCATATAGTTTGATGCATACGTTTGGTAAATCCAATTTATGCACCACACAGAACGCACTGCAACTGCCTCTTTGAACGCAGTGTTCCATTGGAAATGAAAGTACTTCTGATGTACCAAAACCCAAACACTGCAAGTGTGATCGAGGCTTGACTGCGTGGTCTAGAATGGACTACAATGTCTGCCCACAGGCAGAAAATGGGAGACCCTGCATAAAAACACGTTTTAAACGCTTATTTTATAGCGAAGGACACATTCCACACCTCAAATCGTAAGTATTGTTCTTAGAGATAATTAATATGCCTCTGTTGACTGGGAACTTTGTTTTGGTGAAACCGAAAAATGGTTACGGTTTGGTTGATCAAGGACGCCAGGCTACGGAAAGAGCAGTCTGCAAAGAGCAGTCTGTGAAGAATGGCTTGTTGTGGTAGGAAGCAAGGCTGTCAGCCATAACACTGTTATTATACACAGAAAAGTATAAATTAGTTTATAGCCAGTCCTGAACAGTTAGATGATGCATCTTCACGCCATTCAGTTGTTGTATTGATTATAAACAGTTTGTTTTGTTGTCTTTCTTTGTGTTTTAGGTCTGGTTGGTGCCAGTGTGAGTGGTAACCAGAAACTATTAGGTAGGAATGCCCCTAGGAATCACCAGAGTGCTCGCAGCCTCATCCAGCTGTCCAGGAGAGACCCATCACAATGGATCACATTCCAGCACCTCAACTTCTTGAAGCGCCAGGTAAGTCAAATGCTGCCCATAGTAGGCAAAAACATCACTGTTTCGTGAGTGATGGACAACATTCTGTCCTTAGATTTACATTGGAAATGTTTGTCATTTAGCAGACACTCTTATCCAGAGCGACTTACAGGAGCAATAAGGGTTACGTGCCTTGCTCAAGGGCACATTTACATTTTACACATTGACAGATTGTTCACCTAGTCGGCACTGGGATTCGAACTAGCGGACTTTCTGTTACTGGCCCAACACTCTTAACCTCTAGGCTCCCTGCCCCCCCAGATTATGCCCTATCATACCAATTGACCTCAGTCCATGCACATGTAGCCTATTTGTACCAGGTCATGTCAGGACACATTAGTGCTGAGCAATTAACAGATATTTCGGCAATTATTTGAATTCCATTTTATGTTTTTTTTCTGTGAGCTCCATGTGCACATTGCGCAGTTTCTCTAGAGATAAATCAGATCAAGCCCGAACTGTGCGATGTAGTAGGGCGTTGTAGTTTCCAACAGGCCAATGTTCTTCATAGTTTAGTGCAGCAAACATGGTTATTAACTACAATGACCATAATTAATTGCGCGCCTACTTGTCCGGTCTGCGTGTTTCTTTTACGCCTGCTATGTTAGGTTAGTGTGTTTGACAGCCATCGTCGATAGTGACGACATCGTGATGTCACAAAATATGGTTTAGCATATTTGACTGCACCTCTGGAGTCTGGCAGCGCACAACAGCACAGCGCAGTGAGCACATAGCAGGGTGACATGCCAAATGGCCTATTCCCTATTTGTCATAGCCTAAATACATATGTGGTTGTTAGACTATTAACATAATGCAAGAGAACAGTGTAGATTGTAGAAAGAGCGGAGAGCACCAAAGCAGTGCAAAATGTCAGATTGGGCCTAATGTGTTTTTGCCCCTCCTCTCCAATGTGGGATGATCATGGGCCTTTTGCAGCGGACACTCCATTGTCTGGTTTATTGTTTTAATCTTAAGATCTCTTTTTCCCATTCGATTTCAATGTGACTTGTTGACGTAAGCATAGCCTACTTTTTCATGATCAACCATCAAATTAATCTATAGGCCTAAGGAGTTCCATCTAAGAAAGTTATTTGCGAATAGCTTAAATAAAAATGTAGTATAGTAATAATGAGCGAGAGAACAAACGATTGCAAGATAGACTAATCAAATAGGAAGTTTAAACCAACCTGGTACGTTTCTGCTTTACTTGACCAGAGTGTACGCAAAATAAATTGTGCCTTCAAAAAATCCCTCCTTGCAAACCAAACAGACAATAATAATTGCCTACACATAGGCTACTGTCAAAAGTTGCAGTAATTTTTTAATTAAATTTTTTATTTAACCTTCATTTAACCAGGTAAGCCAGTTGAGAAGAAGTTCTCATTTACAACTGCGACCTGGTCAAGATAAAGCAAAGCAGTGCGATAAAAACAACAACAACAGAGTTACATATGGGGTAAACAAAACATAAAGTCAAAAATACAACAGAAAATATATATACAGTGTGTGCGAATGTAGTAAGTTATGGAGGTGAGGCAATAAATAGGCAATAGTGCAAAATAGTTACAATTTAGTATTAACACTGGAATGATAGATGTGCAAAAGATGATGTGCAAATAGAGATACTGGGGCTGTGTACAGGTGCAGTGATCGGTAAGCTGCTCTGACAACTGATGCTTAATGTTAGTGAGGGAGATAATAGTCTCCAGCTTCAGAGATTTTTGCAGTTCGTTCCAGTCATTGGCAGCAGAGAACTGGAAGGAATGGCGGCCAAAGGAGGTGTTGGCTTTGGGGATGACCAGTGAGATATACCTGCTGGAGTGCAGACTACGGGTGGGAGTTGCTATGGTGACCAGTGAGCTAAGATAAGACAGGGATTTGCCTAGCAGTGATTTATAGATGACCTGGAGCCAGTCTAAACGCTACTTTGACAAGTTAAACTTATAAACTAATATTTATAATATTGTCAATGTTTATTGATATCTTTGAATTGCGCACCGGCAATTGCGCACTTTTAAGCGGGAACAAAACATAAATTAATGATGAGTAGGTGTCAATTGTCTCACAAACAACTATTTTCAATAGCTTACGAATTGTGCATTTATATAAAAGTCAACAATCAGATAAAACAAATGATTATTTAGCCTAACAGTTGATTGAACATTGGCTTAGGCTAAAAACTAATAGGTCCATTATCCTTAGGCTTTGCCTTCTGCCTATCAAACTGTAAAAATCCTAAATATACAATCAGATAAAACAAATTATAACATTCTTTATAACACTTAAAAACAAATGAATATTGTCTTATGCTAAAAACAAATAGGCCTATTAGGATATACCTTTTGCCTATTGAACTGTACAAATCCTAAATATAGGCCTACAAAATAGATGAAGTAGCCTAAACAAAATAAGTACGAAAATATCCTACATTAGTGCTAAAGACTATCAGTGCAAATAAGTAATTTTCACGGTTTTACAGAATATTTTAGCCTATCAAGATCACTTTCTGAGTCAAAATGCAAGCTGAGATCTGCCACAGATTTTTTTTATATTACTTAAAAAATGTACATCTATGCAGCATTAACTAATTAATAACAGTTCTGTAGCAATTATGTTTTTGCAGTAGGCTATAGGCCCAATACATTATCACTGCATATTGGCTGTCCTTAAATTGCCCTGGCAATGTTTTTCTCAGACCATTTTGAAATTATATAAAAAAGTTTAGGTATAGGATCACCTGGTAATATATCATTTTTAGTATTACATAGGCACAGCCAAGTGAGTGTGTGTGTGTATATATATATATATATATATTTTTTTTTTTTTTACTGGACTGATGGCCTGCGTCTGAGGGGAGGGAGAGAGCAGCGGCGAGGTTTCCTCTCACCGTCCCTCCGCTCTCCCTCCCTCCGCTGAGAAAAGGGACACAGTCTTCCAGCTGATGGCGAAACTCAAGTCACACTGCATTATTTCTGCCTCATGCACCAATTCATGTTGTTACTCCTATGACCAGAGAAAGTGAAATATTCCTATATATAAAAAAAACACAACAAGCCGCTAATAATAACAACGCAAGCTTATCGGAACACTTTGCTATAGGCCTAAGCATTCATTGCAGCTGCAGTGCTGGTTGTAGCATGAGTGGAAGTAGGGAGAACACGCATTTTATGGCTTAAAAGTGTTGAACAAAGTGTTGACCGTGCTGAATAACAACTTAAACATGAACTTACTCATAAAAACAGCAGCTCTTTGCTTTTCGTTGAGTCTAGTCATGGTTTTGAAATCTCACAGTATCAATTTTGCTTTGCGTTCCAGGCTTCTTTTTACAGTCTATGGCTCGAGGAAACTGTGCAGACGCGATCGAGCGGTTGGTGACCACTGCTATAGGCTATGTCTTTTGAATAAGATGCATCTGGATTTGAATATAGCAAAAAAAAATGGGGAACAATTAGGTGTAGTTACTTTTTACCATGTCTTAGGTCTACCTAAAGATTTCTGGCAAGGAACACCAGCACGTTCACATTTCTGCCCCAGAGTAGCGAACTCCACAGAATGATGGTCTTGTAAATGTTGACAGAGGTTTGTAGTCTGTCCATCCTTTGCCCTCATAATCTTGATAGCCTAGACTTGATAGAAAAAACTAGGCGTAGCACTGTTTAAGACTAGCAATGTGTCCTTTATATTGCATTCTTCCGGCTAGTTGACCTCTCCATGCGCAACACGCATCCCTGATCAGGATGCGAATTATGGGGTAGCCATGGGGGCGGTGGGGCTCAGCTCCCCTGAATGAGACATTAGCTCCCCTAAATGCAACAAAAGTCAGTCAGCTGTTTAGAGCGCTCATTGCTTTGTTTTTCAGGTGTTCGCTGGTACTGGTGTTCTCCGTGCCTTCCGTGGCCAGAAGTAGTAGACCATTTATTTAGCTTGATTGTTTTCTTTCCTGGAACAGCTGGTGATGGTCGCCAATATCACTAGACAACTAGCCTACAGCCAGACATCAATATCACTAGACAACTAGCCTACAGCCAGACATCAATATCACTAGACAACTAGCCTACAGCCAGACATCAATATCACTAGACAACTAGCCTACAGCCAGACATCAATATCACTAGACAACTAGCCTACAGCCAGACATCAATATCACTAGACAACTAGCCTACAGCCAGACACCAATATCACTAGACAACTAGCCTACAGCCAGACACCAATATCACTAGACAACTAGCCTACAGCTATACACCAATATCACTAGACAACTAGCCTACAGTTAGACACCAATATCACTAGACAACTAGCCTACAGCTATACACCAATATCACTAGACAACTAGACAACTAGCCTACAGCTATACACCAATATCACTAGACAACTAGCCTACAGCCATACACCAATATCACTAGACAACTAGCCTACAGCCAGACACACCAATATAAGTCATACTTAATTCTCTCATTAAAATGCAAATCAATTTATAACATTTTTGACATGCGTTTTTCTGGATTTTTTTGTGATTTTTCTGTCTCTAACTGTTCAAATAAACCTACCATTAAAATTATAGACTGATCATGTCTTTGTCAGTGGGCTAACGTACAAAATCAGCAGTGGATCAAATACTTAATTCCCTCACTGTATACACCAATATCACTAGACAACTAGCCTACAGTTAGACACCAATATCACTAGACAACTAGCCTACAGCTATACACCAATATCACTAGACAACTAGCCTACAGCTATACACCAATATCACTTTACAACTAGCCTACAGTTAGACACCAATATCACTAGACAACTAGCCTACAGCTATACACCAATATCACTAGACAACTAGCCTACAGCTATACACCAATATCACTAGACAACTAGCCTACAGTTAGACACCAATATCACTAGACAACTAGCCTACAGCTATACACCAATATCACTAGACAACTAGCCTACAGCTATACACCAATATCACTAGACAACTAGCCTACAGCTATACACCAATATCACTAGACAACTAGCCTACAGCTATACACCAATATCACTAGACAACTAGCCTACAGTTAGACACCAATATCACTAGACAACTAGCCTACAGTTAGACACCAATGCGCATCCAATTCATCCAACATTAATGACAGTAGGCCTATAGATGACTATTTCGGTTAGAAGCATTCCATTTTGCAATGGCATAGGCCTACATTATTTTGGATTTGTGTGCCCATGAGAACTGTTTTCACGGAGAAGCATAATGAAATGTTATGTAGGCATAGTTACATTTACAGTGCACCTCTCGAGATCTCCAAGATCGAGGAATCGTACAGGGTTTATGTTCAAAGTTCTATTTCAATTGTTAAATGCTTAATAATGACAAATAACACTGTCATAAATGTAATTCATGTAAGGAAAGAAATATAGTGTTTTATGTCACACAATCTGTGAAGACTCCAAGCATTAACTCATGAATTATAGACAACTCATGAACTAGGGTGTATTTTTTTTTTTATTCAACTCATGTATTATATTGAATGAACGCTACCTGTTCTGTGTGTGTTCATGTGTGTAGAATTGCCTTTGCTGAGAGGGTAGGGTACTGGCAGTAGTGTAGTCCTAGTGGAGGGTAGGCTACTGGCAGTGGTGTAGTCCTAGTGGAGGGTAGGCTACTGGCAGTAGTGTAGTCCTAGTGGAGGGTAGGCTACTGGCAGTGGTGTAGTCCTAGTGGAGGGTAGGCTACTGGCAGTGGTGTAGTCCTAGTGGAGGGTAGGCTACTGGCAGTGGTGTAGTCCTAGTGGAGGGTAGGCTACTGGCAGTGGTGTAGTCCTAGTGGAGGGTAGGCTACTGGCAGTGGTGTAGTCCTAGTGGAGGGTAGGCTACTGGCAGTGGTGTAGTCCTAGTGGAGGGTAAACGCAACGAAACACTGTTTATACACCGTAAAAAATATATGCTTTTAAAGCATAGGGAGTGTTAATTTTTTCACCGCGACCGGCAATCAGAGTTTACCCACTGACTACCGGTAGGCCTATTTGAAGTTCATGGTAAGACACATTGTAGCCTGGTCTAGTAGGTTGACTGTATGTCTGTTAGGATGACAATCATGTTTTAAGACACATTGTAGCCTGGTCTAGTAAGTTGATTGTGTGTGTGTGTGTTAGGGTGACCATGTTTTTCCCGGGACAGTTTCAGCCCCATTTCAGGTGTCCCGTCTTTTCTGGCTACAAAAAAGGTCAATTTGTCATCAAGACGCATCAATTAATGAAGGACTAATCAATAGCAATCGCTGAAAGTCATTAGGCACACCTTTTGGTGTTTTTTAACATGCAGATGTCTATTTCCATTCATCAAATGGTGCCAGTGTACATGCAGATGTCTATTTCCATTCATCAAATGGTGCGATTATCTTGGAGTGGACGGTCATGCAAAGGTAGCATGTGTTTTGTAGTGATTTAGTTTGACAATCAGATGAAAGTATCATGACTGGTTGTGTTTATGCCACATTAAAAGGTCATTCACCGTTAAATTCTGTCTTTTATTATTAGGCCCATAACATTTCCCGTGCAGTGCAATCGCATGCACACAAGTGACCCCCCCCCCCCCCCCCCCCCCCCTCCACATTGTACTTCACACTCTGCCCCCCTATATCAGCGCTGTTTGGACAGGACAATGAGACTGTCATCCAGACATCGCCCAACGCTTAAGTACACAGGATTAGCTATATTATAATTGAAGCCTGCAAAGTCATGGGCAGTCACTTCTAATTGATAGAAAAATAAGCTAGATGTTACATGTTAGTCTCAGTTGCAAGTTATAATGCCAGTGCCACCCAACCATGTTTTGTGCCAGTGTGAACGTATGATTTTCACTGCTTGTAAAAGGAGGAATATCTGCCATAATGTGCCAATGATAGACAACCTTTATCTTCACTCACTCACTATCTGCCCTCTCCCTTCGCAGTATGTGATGACGAGTAACAATGCCCTCTATCAGAGAGCTGATCCTAAGCAGACAGCCATCTTGACCGTCCTGGAGGACCATCGTGATGGCGGCGTGGACAGACAGATCCAGCAGGTCCCAACCATCGACCATGTGCCTGTGGTCACTGATGTCACACCACCTCCACTACAGCCAGAGACCACAACCACAAATGTGACCGCAACACCGGTCTCAAGTCCTGTCTCGACTGTGTCAGCACAGGAGATACTTACTCTGTTGAAAGCAACCTCCAGCAAGACTGTGTCACCACCACAGACGAAGGCTGTGTCCAGTGCAGTAGAGTCTGGGACTGAGATGTTAGAGGTTCCCCATCTGCAGGTGGAGTCAGATGAAGCCAGGGAGGCTCGGCTGGACAGGCAGTGGAAGGAACTCAAGGTGGACCTGGCTGAACTTCCAGATGTGTACGCTAAACTTGCCAAAATCAAACTCACAGGTATGGTATGACATGGACAAGGAACATGTATCTAAGCGTTTCTTAATGTTTTATTTTCTATCAAGGATATGCACAATTTGGCCTAGGGCATTGCTTCGCCTTTCACAAAGATGGGAACTTGTACCACAGATGGAACAATGAGCCAGATGTTTCAACGGATGTGTAAATGTGACGCATCCGCTTGGTGTTTCCACTCACTACCAAATATGGTGATGAGAGGAAGCCCAGTGGAAGAAGATGAAGCGAGATGGATTTTGGCCGACATTCTGCTAATTTTCTCATCGATGAAACATTTGATCTCAATACAGTTTCCTGTTCCTAAAACTACAATCTAGTTTCTATCTAATAGAGTTTTGTAGACTTTACCCTTCCCCTTCGTATTTTTTGCCCAAAAAGTATGTTAAGGAGTGCAACGGCAAATCGAGTTATTGCACATGTGCACTTCAGAGTAGGCGTTCCCTAATGGAAATATGCAAATACATGCTAGAACGTGCCAATAGGATCTCGCTAGCTCGTGTTTGGCTCTGCCCACCTCCTTGCTTGTTCTGCCCACTATGACTCATTTGCTCCCATTGGAAACGACATGCTGTGGTTTATCTTGGGTTAGTTATAAAAATCTTTGCTTGTAAATACTGTTCTGCCAGTAATTGCCCAAAGCTGTAGGCCTATAGTTGATATGGAAACTATGGTGGGGATAGAAGTATGAAGCATGTTGCTTGTGTGTAGGTATGATGTTAATATTGTTGTTTCAGCGTTAGTAGTGTGGACGGCAGCAGCTGGTTTTGCCATGGCTCCAGTACCCTTTGACCCTGCCACCTTCTTCTTGGCATCCCTTGGGACAGGGCTTGCCTCCTGCACCGCAAACTCCATCAACCAGGTCAGTTACGTCAAAATCAAATCTAATTGTATTTGCACATGCGCCGAATACAGTGGGTGAAATGCTTAATACGAGCCCTTCCCAACAATGCAGAGTAGTAACACGAGGAATAACATAAAATACACAAGAATGAAACTATATACAGGGAGTACCAGTACCAGATCAATGTGGAGCTCTATACAGGGAGTACCAGATCAATGTGGAGCTATATACAGGGAGTACCAGATCAATGTGGAGCTCTATACAGGGAGTACCAGATCAATGTGGAGCTCTATACAGGGAGTACCAGATCAATGTGGAGCTCTATACAGGGAGTACCAGATCAATGTGGAGCTCTATACAGGGAGTACCAGATCAATGTGGAGCTCTATACAGGGAGTATCAGATCAATGTGGAGCTATATAAAGGGAGTACCAGATCAGTGTGGCACTCTATACAGGGAGTACCAGATCAATGTGGAGCTCTATACAGGGAGTACCAGATCAATGTGGAGCTCTATACTGGGAGTACCAGATCAATGTGGAGCTCTATACAGGGAGTACCAGATCAATGTGGAGCTATATAAAGGGAGTACCAGATCAGTGTGGCGCTCTATACAGGGAGTACCATATCAATGTGGAGCTATATACAGGGACTACCAGATCAATGTGGAGCTACAGTTGAAGTCGGAAGTTTACATAGACATTAGCCAAATACATTTAAACTCAGTTTTTCACAATTCCTGACATTTAATCCTAGTAAAAATTCCCTGTTTTAGGTCAGTTAGGATCACCACTTTATTTTAAGAATGTGAAATGTCAGAATGTAATAGTAATGTAATAGTAGAGAGAATGATTTATTTCAGCTTTTATTTCTTTCATCACATTCCCAGTGGGTCAGAGGTTTACATACACTCAATTAGTATTTGGTAGCATTGCCATTAAATTGTTTCACTTGGGTCAAACGTTTCGGGTAGACTTCTACAAGCTTCCCACAATAAGTTGGGTGAATTTCAGACCATTCCTCCTGACAGAGCTGGTGAAACTGAGTCAGGTTTGTAGGCCTCTTTGCTCGCACACGCTTTTTCAGTTCTGCCCACACATTTTCTATAGGATTGAGGTCAGGGCTTTATGATGGCCACTCCAATACCTTGACTTTGTTGTCCTTAAGCCATTTTGCCACAAATATGGAAGTATGCTTGGGGTCATTGTCCATTTGGAAGACCCATTTGCGACCAAGGTTTAACTTCTTGACTGATGTCTTGAGATGTTGCTTTAATATATCCACATAATTTTCCTTCCTCATGATGCCATCTATTTTGTGTAGTGCACCAGACCCTCCTGCAGCAAAGCACCCCCACAGCATGATGCTGCCACATCCGTGCTTCACGGTTGGGATGCTGTTCTTCGGCTTGCAAGCTTCCCTTTTTCATCCAAACATAACGATGGTCATTATGGCCAAACAGTTCTATTTTTGTTTCATCAGACCAGAGGACATTTCTCCATGTGCAGTTGCAAACCGTAGTCTGGCTTTTTTATGGCGGTTTTGGAGCAGTGGCTTCTTCCTTGCTGAGCGGCCTTTCAGGTTATGTCGATATAGGACTCGTTTTACTGTGGATATAGATACTTTTGTACCTGTTTCCTCCAGCATCTTCACAAGGTCCTTTGCTGTTGTTCTGGGATTGATTTGCACTTTTCGCACCAAAGTACGTTCATCTCTAGGAGACAGAACACATCTCCTTCCTGAGCGGTATGACGGCTGCGTGGTCCCATGGTGTTTATACTTGCATACTATTGTTTGTACAGATGAACGTGGTACCTTCAGGTGTTTGGAAATTGCTCCCATGGATGAACCAGACTTGTGGAGGTCTTGGCTGATTTCTTTTGATTTCCCCATGATGTCAAGCAAAGGGGCACTGAGTTTGAAGGTAGGCCTTGAAATACATCCACAGGTACACCTCCAATTGACTCAAATTATGTCAATTGGCCTTTCAGAAGCTTCTAAAGCTATGACTTCATTTTCTGCAATTTTCCAAGCTGTTTAAAGGCACAGTCAACTTCTGACCCACTGGAATTGTGATACAGTGAATTATAAGTGAAACATCTGTCTGTAAACTATCTTTTGAAAAATGACTTGTCATGCACAAAGTAGATGTCCTAACCGACTTGCCAAAACTATAGTTTGTTAACAAGAAATTTGTGGAGTGGTTGAAAAACAATTTTTAATGACTCCAACCTAAGTGTATGTAAACTTCTGACTTCAACTGTATATACAGGGACTACCAGTACCAGATCAATGTGGAGCTATATACAGGGAGTAGCAGTACCAGATCAATGTGGAGCTATATACAGGGAGTACCAGTAACAGATCAATGTGCAGAGGTACTAGGTATAGGTAGATATGTACATGAAGGCAGGGTAAAGGGACTAGGCATCAGGATAGATAATAATAATGTATTTGAGGTAGATATGTACATGAAGGCAGGGTAAAGTGACTAGTCATCAGGATAGATAATAATATAGAGAGTACAATAAAGAACAGGTTGTGTTGGTATGCGTGTGTGTTATGTTTGTGTGTGCGTATGTGAATGTGTGTGGGTTTAGTCAATGTAGTGTATATATAGTCTTGTGAGTGTGCATAGAGTCAGTACAGATAGTCCAGGTAACCATTTAATTAACTATTTAGCAGTCTTATGGCTTAGGGGTAGAAGCTGTCTCGGATGCTGTTGGTCAGAGAGCCGACGCTCCGGTACTGTTTGCTGGACGGTATCGGGAGTGAACAGTCTATGGCTTGGGTCACAGCTGTGGTGCAAATTGTGGTGCAGAATTGCTGGGTTTAGCCTGGACTGTCTTGGTTTGGTGTCAGACATTGTCTTGGTGTTGCAGTGTGATATGACCTCGGTGCAGGACTGTGAAGAAAAGCCCAATTAGCTAAAGTTCTGCTGTGTTATTAATGCATGTATTATTGAGGATTATGTCCCCCCCGTGATGACCTTTGTTATATATGAAACAATAGCCACGTCTTTGGGTAAAGGCTCAGAAAACTTCATTTAACATCTTCCCCTGGTCGTCCCTAGACTTACTAAACATTAACCTCACTGTAATCGTTCTAGTGGTCTCTTTCTTATTTCTCTTTAGTTGTTTCGCTGAAAGATGGATGAGGCCTCATTTCAACGGCTGGCGGGATTACTGTTGGGTTCTGCAACGCATAATATGTTTTCATTGCGCTTTACACAAACACGGACTCTCACTGGCTGACACACACACACGTACACACACACACACGTACACATACACACACAGTGCTGTCCCTCGCTGTGCACTCCTTGTTGTTCTAGAAAACATTTCACGAGCCAATGATGGCCGCTTTGAACTATAGTCACATTTCTCTCTCGCTGCATATCTCATTAACAGAGACTCTAACTCTAATGCTGTTATTATTTTCCTGCTGAAAGCTTTTTTCGTAACTAAAAATAAAGACTGCTGCGCTGGACTCTTAAAATGTCTGGAATAATCTGGCTGCGCTGGGTTGCCAAGAGTTGACGCTGTGTGCTGGAATGCGGTCCGTGATTTAAGAATATTAGTTTAATGGACGACCTCTCCCTCAGCCCTGGGTTGATCCCCATTTAGATGCGGCCCTCGGCCTGTAATTTGGCCAAGGCACTGATTACACTGCAGGTTCCTGCCTTAGGGGCCAGACAGCAGGGTCACGTTGACTAGGCACCAAACGAATGCACCCTAGCCAGCTTTCAACAGCCAAGTCCTAGGCAGGGTCCCCTCTCATTTAGAAAAGTAGCTGTTCTCTTCTCAGTGAGGTAACAATGAACTCGACCAACAATTTGTCCCAACACTCCAAAGCTCTTCGACCTTTGTGTGCAGGCATGTAGTATTGTTTTCTCTAGTCTAGTGTGCCATGGTCAGGGTGACGTCTGTGGATATGAATGTGCAGTGGGAGTATGAATAGCATCAATCCATCAAACTTAAATACATAGAGGGAAGAAAACGCTGTTGTCCCGTCAATGACTTCTTGGAACTTAGTTCTGCCTGTCTTACCTCATCCATGTAGCCTACCTCTTTACCTGTCTCCCTTTACACTAGAGCAGGTGTGTAAATATCCTCCAGGTATGACAGCTATGTCTCCTCTAAAGGCAGGTTGGTAGTCTCCAGGGCCCCAGCTGCAGGGATCCAGGGCCCCAGCCCTCAGGAGTTCACAGTGTTGAGAGATTGGAGAGGTGGAAGCTACAGTTTCTACACTGACTGGTTGTCCATGCCTGTTAATGTATCTGTGGGCCCACTCTCAGGTCAGCCCCTGTCAATATTTATTTTCTCTATAGAAATGGCTCGGGCAAGGAAGGACATTAAGATGTATCTTTCATTTAGAGTACATTCTCCTTTCATCGGCTCCCTTATGTCCTCCCTGTACAGAAGTCACCAGCCCGGCCTAGTCAGAACAGAAGCCTGGGGCTTGGTTGAAGGTGAAGTCCAGGGAGCCCTGCTTTCAGGCTGTGTGTAGCTTGGGGGTTTGGGGCTATAGTTTGGGAGGCTTTGGGAGTGGGTTGGCCGCTGTTCTGAAGTGGGCAGTGTGGAACATGTAGACTACCCTCAACCGGACATGAGGGGTAGTAATCTTAGTAGTAGATTGGTGAAGTAGTATTACCCTCAACCGGACATGAGTGGTAGTAGACTGGTGAGGTAGTATTACAGTAGAGAAGGACAAATGGGCATCCTGTTGATTTGTTTCGTTTGATGTGCCTCTGCTTTGAAGTCTTAATGGGCCAGCCAGACCAGTGCCTTGTGGGTGGTTGCTTGCACTTGGCCAACTGACACCCATTTATTCATGCTGGCAAAGAGACACACACACACACACACACACACACAGGAAGAAAATTGTGGAGGTAAAAATACCACAGAATCTGAGGTGTCATTGGATCGCTGTAAATGGTCTTTGAAAGTGAGAAGGGCTTACCAAAAAAATTACTAATTCGAGGTAGAAAGGAGTTGGAGCGCTCAACAAAAAAAAAC